CTATACTACGGCACGTGTGAACGAGTATGGGCGAATGCACAAATACCCAGAGAGAGAGGAAAGGGGGCGGGGGGACACGGACATGGACGACACGGGACAGTGCCCTGGAATGAAGGCTTAGAAATTCCCTCGAACTGTATCTTTAGAGTTTTTCAATGTCACTCTTGTGGGCCCAAGGAGTTGACGTCCTCTGGGACCTCATCCATCTCTCTCTTGCAGCCTTCTTCTCTTTATTCCTGAACAGAGTGGCTAACCTTTCAGCTACCTTGTTTTCTTTGCTTAAAATGAGAAAAACCAAATTCCAGAGCTGGGAAATAAGGCTGAATGAATAAGGTGGACAGCTCTCTGCAACAGAGTGATGTCCTTCCTGCAAAAGCCCCAGTGAAAGACAGCTTGTCTTCAGTCTGCAGCCAGTGAATGCGTGTTTCTAGGAAGGATTAAAGTGGTATTATCAATTATGCCAAACCTTTCTCCCCTCTGGCCTTCGCATCCCTGGGCTAAGCACACTTGAACACACACACACACACACACACACACACACACACACACGCACATACAATGTGAGCTTTCATTGTGTTGGCAAGGGTGTTTATAAATGTGAGTGTATGTGTTCATCCAAGTAATTTAAAAATAGCCTAAGTGAACTGAGCAAACGAGTGTGTGTCACATTTACCAGGAATATTAGGAAGCAAAGGCCTTTAAATGTCTGACTTAGCTCTGGCATTGTGTCAGGAAAGAGTTGGCTCACGTCGCTTGCATAAGTCTTATGTAAGAGATTAGATACGGGGCCTGAGCTGTCCCAGTTATTAAAGTACCAGGAAAGCAAAGCTTGCTATGTTGTCGACACTTGCTTGGCCCCCTCCATGCAAGTGTCTCTGTTCCTAGACCTAAGTACGTCCTGTTGTAAAAGTTAGTCTAAAAACGAAAAGAGCAGCCTGGCTTTTCTAGGGCTTTCCATAAGAACGTGTTTAGGAGTAAAGAAGCATATTTAGAAGTCAAGGGATACGCATCAGTTTACAAACTGGATAGGTATTCACATTTGTGCTCATGTGCGCTACTTGAGAGTCGTGAAAAACCACTTGATACTGTACATTCTACACATGGACAGTGTAGACTTTCATGCATCTTATAATCTGGTTCTTCGAAACTGAGAACACAACCCATGGCCCTATTCGCTTTGTGTTCTGAAAGGGATCCTCATCAAATCTCATTTTCAGAAAAGAGAAACAAAGACCACAGTCTTGACTCTGCTATCAGGCTATGCTTGGCTCTTCTGAGATGGAAATATATATATATATATATATATATATATATATATATATATATATATATATATATTAACAGAGCTTGGACGGAGGAAAGACTTTGAATTTTAGAGTCACTTACCCAGCACCATAAGTTAGTTGTAGAACCCAAGAAAATCTTTTAATTTCTCTAAGTTTATGTTTTTTTTTATCATAAAATGGGAATAATGAGATCTACTTTAGGGGTATTATAACAACTTAGGTTAGATTTGTGACTTTTTTTTACTATTATGTTTTGACACAAGACCAGCTTTCAACGATGTTTGTTTCAAGTTCTGAAGTGTTGTTGGCATTATCCCAGTCCTTTATTTAGAAAATTGAATTCATTTCATCTTTCTTTATAGCAACTTCTATGCTGCTATAGCTACTATCCCTCCTTTCTAGATGACACCCAAACCCAAGTCACCTAAGCCATAAATTAGGCAACAAGACATGAACTGAGGTTGTGTATTGTATGACTCCAAAACCTGTAAATGCACGTGACATCAAGCATGTATCATTCACTAAGCCTTAGGGCCTGTATCGAGTTCTACCAAATGTTGTCACATGTGCCTCCCCTTTCTCCGGAAAGGAAATCATACGGTGAGAGGATATGCCTTCCATGACTTTGATCGCTACTGATGGCAGAATGTCGCCATCGATGCCATTTACCCCTTGATTTGCAATTTTTAGCAGCTGAGGTAGAGGGAATTAAGAGCAGATTTAGTGAGCTATTAAAAGCTAGAATAATTAAAACCAGCCTGAAATATCTGCATCAAGAAAATCCATGCTTTATCATAGTTACCCGTGGAAAGAAATTCTGCAAATGGAATTGGCTTATGTGAATTGAGGCACTGAGTCCTTGTGATTTTTAGGTGAGACTTGGCTAGAGCCACAAAGCTATTCTAGAAGCATGCTGTGCATAGAACACACCCAGAATCCCAGCACTCAGCAACCTGAGCCAAGAGGATCATGGGATCAAGAACAGCCTGCCCTACACAAAGAAATTCTGTCTCAACAAATAATTTTTAAAGGCATTTTCTGGACATCAGTGGACTGCCAGTCAAGCACCAGACATAGAGAAATGTCAAGTGACATGTGAAGATTTTTGTATAGTACTCTGACTTGTAGGTACACTTTTGAAAGTCTATGGTTAGAATGTGGAATTCCTTAGGAATACCAGGAGGAGAGGGAAGTTTTAGGTAAACTGTAGTGAGGTGTTTTATGTAAAGTCAAAATCAAAAGGCTACACAGGGTCTGTAGCGATGACTCAGTAGTTGGGAGCACTTGCTGCTCTTGCAGAGAATAGGATTTTGTGGCTGTTCACAAGTCTCTATAACTCCAGTTGTAGAGATTCAGCACCCTCTTCCAGCCTCCACATGCACCAGACATGCACACGGTGCACATACACAAATACACAGCACTCGTACACATAAAATACACCAGATTGAAGGCTGCTGACCCAGCCCCATGCTGCTCCCATAGTGATAGGATTTCCCTGCAACCTTCACAATGAGAACCAGGATTTCCCGGCTCTGCTGTTTCATGAACAATTTCTTTGGGAGAACTAACTCACTTGATCCTTACAATTAGTCATCATAGCTCTGCACTTCCAACATAGAAATACACCTAAGTATAACAAACCATGTATAATTCAAAACTATTATTATTCTGAATGTAGATTAGGAGCATGAACGCTACATAAAAGTCCCTCTAAAAACTAACTCAGCCAACTTCAGTGTCTGGATATCTAAATGCCTTGGAAGAAGTATCTTAGGAAGGATTCACAGATTAGGGTGGAGAAACATTTTCACATCTATTTGAGTGTTAACTCTTTCAGAATGCTGAAAAACATCCATTAGGACTTCAAGATAATTAGGCCAGGGTGCTCCAGAACTTTATTGCATGGAACACAGCAATAGTATTTTACCAGGAGCCACACCTTCGAGAGAGAAAAGCAACATTTTATTTGTACATTACGTATGTTTACCCCAAACTCAAAGTTGGATCTCATCAAGCTTCTGCATCAGTAAGTAAATTCTGTCCTGGGATCACTAAAGTGGGAATGCTTTTTAGATATGGATTTTTCACATGTGCTACTCAACTCATTGGTCCAGAAACTCCTTAACTCTTCTGAAAGGCTTTGAAGAACCAGATTAAATGTTGTATGAATAAACTTTACTGAAATAAATTGCAAAATATGTTTCCAGTGATTATTTTTTACATTTTCTGACCATAAATGAGGCATCTAACCAAGTAAATTTTCAAGGCACAAGGTGCTCGAGGCGAGGTTCACTGTTCATGAAATTGTATATAAGTCCTTCTTTCAGAAGTCTTGGTAATCTTTACTGTTCAGCATTCTTAGAATTTCTCAGAGTTTGAGATCATTATCAGTTTAACTGCACAATATGGTTTTAGAAGATCTATTTGGGGCAAAAAAATGTCCAATTTGGCTCTGTCTTCTTACGTTCCTGTGCTTGCATGATTTTTATCTTTAAACAGGTGTCTGGGTTTTGAGTTTACCCTGGGTTTTTGTTTTACAGAAGTCTAGTACATTTGCTTAGATATGAGCTACATACCTACAAAATGCTGCAGCCAATTCCCATAATACATATCCTTAGATGTCGCTACATGTCCTGCTGGATCTGTTTTTTTCTGGAGTATCCTCACATAGGGAGGGCACCACGGTCATTCTGTATTTAAATATTTATAAAGCTTATGAAAATTCCCCAGTGAATCCTCATGCACACCCAGAGCACTGTGCATCCAACTGTGGACACAGCCACCTTAAGGCATAGTTAGCCTTAGAGAATGCTAAAATTAAGGTTCTTCCCAATCCAATGCTATTGTAGTTGTTGATGCATATAATTTACAGCTCTCCTTGACTTTTTCACAGCATTTCCCCCCTGTCTCCTCAACATACTCTCCCTGGGAGTTTGAATTTGATGCAATATTGGTTTTCAACTACTTCTCTTCTATGCCACCGGAGAGTTTTGCTATGCAAGATTGCAGAGTTGGCTTATTCCATCTGAAGTTTCTGGCATATCCATGATGGATGGACCTGTTTTTGCATACAGCAGCAATGCATCTCAGTTGGGTGAGTACCATCACTGAAGTAGACACTAGATCCCCAGAGAGGATGTGCAGCTCTAAAGGTAAGTGTAATTTTTATGTCATATCTAGACTATGCTTTATATTTTTATTTATTTATTTTGATACTAAGGATTGAACCTAGCTTCATTCCTGCTAGGCAAATGCTATACACTGAGCTGTATCTTAGCTACTTTTTACTTTGTGTGTGTGTGTGTGTGTGTGTGTGTGTTCTAGTGTATGTGCATGAAGAGGCCATAGGTGGGTGCTGGGTGACTTTCTAAATTGCTCATTTCTTTATTTTTGAAGAAAGAGTCTCCCACTAGACCTGGAGATCACCTACTCATCTAGACTAGCTGGCCAGTAGGACCCATGGACCCATCTGTCTCCAACTATCCAGAGTGTCCTGCCATGCCAAGCTTTTCATATGGGTGCTAGGGATTCAAACTCAGGATATTGTGTTATATGGCATGAGTCATTTCCCCAGTTCCTACCTTTTATTTGAGACAATATCTCATTAAGTCGCCTGGGGAGGCCTTGAACTAGAATCCTGCTTCAAGTTTCCGATGAACTGAGATTATAAACCCACTCCATGAGGCCTAGACAAACCTGATTTTTTTTTTCCAGACACATAAGCTTTTAGTTTATTTGTTCTTCCAGAAATTGTCTGTACACCACCGCAGATCAAATCACCGCAGAGCTACTCCTTTGGCTTTTTGCCAGCACCAACGTTGGCCTTTGCCGTGCCCCTGACCTTCTTCATTCTGTTCTTGCGCTCCTTCCGCTGTTTCCGAGAGGTCTTCTTCTTCTCATAGAGGCCATGCCTTGCCAGTCTGTGTTTGGGCTCATTCTTCTTAGCATAATCTAGAGAATCATAGATCATGCCGAAGCCAGTCGTTTTGCCGCCACCAAAGTGGGTCCTGAACCCGAACACAAAGATGACATCTGGTGTGGTTTTGTACATTTTGGCTAGCTTCTCCCGAATTTCAGTCTTTGGTACTGTTGCCTTCCCAGGGTGAAGGACATCAATAACCATCTGTTTCCTCTGAAGCAGACGGTTTAGTCATGAACTTCCTGGTCCGGATCGTTACTGTGTCATTCATGATGGCTACGGTGCCCGAGCTGCACAGGAGGAAAAGAGCGACAAACCTGATTTTATATAACAAAGACTAGTTAGTTCATAAAGTCTTTGAGGAATAGTATAATTTAGATACTTGATGATTAACATAATTTTAGGGTATTTAACAATGAACAAAGAATTTTATAAAAAGATTTTGTGGGTTAGAAAAAAAATCTATTCTCCTACACTAATAAATAATAAGTAAATATTAAAAACTTAAGATTGCCCATAAAACTTTTTGCAATGATAATTTTATTAATTGAAAGAGGTTTTTCATTGTATAATTGCTTGGGATATTTCTATTTCTTTGAAAATGAATTATGAGAAAATTTTTTTTTCTTTTTTTTGGTTTTTCGAGACAGGGTTTCTCTGTGTAGCTTTGCGCCTCTCCTGGAACTCTCTTGGTAGCCCAGGCTGGCCTCGAACTCACAGAGATCCACCTGGCTCTGCCTCCCGAGTGCTGGGATTAAAGGCGTGCGCCACCACCGCCCGGCCAAGAAAATTTTTTGATTTGAGAACTGTGCTAAATTTCTGTTAGAATTGATGAGCCTTCTCCGTGACCCTGAGCACCATGGACATAGTTCATAGTTGAGAGGACTGTCACTGTGACTGTTGGTGAACACAAGACACTCTCCTGTGGGCTGTTTCCTCAGATACATCTTGAGATAAGTGTTTTTAATAAAAACAGAGAGTAAAGAGGAGCTTGGTGATCCTTTAATACGTGACTGATGGCCACATAAGTCATAAGTGCAGCTGGCTTCAGAGTGTCAGCCAACCTGGTTCTTCGTTTTGTGGGAAGCAGTGCCCTTGTCTGTGGACCTAAGGGCATGGTCTGCTCTGTGTCCCTTCTCTCCCAAACTTCTCTGCTTTCCTTCCCAGCCAACCACATTGCTTCCCTTAGGAAGGAAGAACACAGTCTCCTGCCTAGTGTGTGTATTTGTGGACGAAGACACTGTAAAACAACTACCCCTGAGGTTGTTAACAAATGATATGACAACTCATCTCCTTCCAAGGACTGACTGAGTTTCCGTATGCCACTCAAATGCTAAGTGGTGGGACCTGTGAGATGGCTGAGTGGGTAAAGGTGACCGCCAGCAAGTCAGACAGCCTGAGCTCGAGTTCGAATCACGGTCACCACCAATGATAAGCAGAAGAAAACTTTTTAGAAGTAGGGAGGCTAATATGCAGTGAAGAATGACAGACTAAAAGTCAGCCACGGGGTAGCAGTGTGGTCATGCCTGCTAACTATAGAGACTCTGGTGTGGATCTTTTAAACTTGTGGTACTCTTTCCTAGAACCACGGGACGGTCACCAAGCCTAGAAATCAGTGACAACACGATGCTACCAGACTCCTTCACCTTCTTCAGTCATTTCCTCACTCAGGAGGAAACTTAGCACTCAGACCACGGTGGAAAGAAGCAGCCTGGAATATTTCAATGTGCAGACACTTGTCTCTAGAACTGGGCCATCATCTCACTGAGTATTCTTTGGTTAAATCTAACTGAGAAAGATCCTTTAGGGAAATTAGCCATAAATCCAGTTCATTATTTTGAATTTCCTCTGGCAACATGCATTCTTTTTCCATATAAGGATGGAAAGAACCACAGAGCATTATAGAGATTTCCTTAAGCCCTAGAATTATAAAAGAAGATGCCTGAGCATATTCAGGACTCTGCTGACTTCCAAATTGTATTTCTGGTACTTGCTCTTAGGGCTGTTGGAGGAAGGTTCCAGGGCTGGGTTGTGAGGAGCTTAGCTGCCTCCACACAGCCAGCACTAAGAAGTTGTGGTATTCAAACTTTTCAGACAAACTTGTGGGTCTCACAGTCCCACAAAAATATGAATATTGGAGGCTTGCTTCCCTCCTTTCTTAAATGGTTTTCTTCTTGTTGTTTATTTCAAGTTTAAGGCTTTTCTATCTCTCTCTCTTTTTTTTTTTTGAAAATAGTTTTCTGTTTGTTTGCTTGTGTTTTGGAGTATTTGGGATCAAACACAGGGTCTTGCACTTACTAGGAAATTGCTATTAGTGAGCTACATCCTGGCTCTTTTTAAAACATGGAGCCTGAAGTATGATGTAGCTTAATTACTTCCTAGCGTATGCTTGTGACAATGTTAAGTTTTGACTAATAGACATAGTTAGACTATATAGGAGATATCATGGTGATTACTTCCAAATTGAAATCTTCATTCATGGATAAAATAGCTGTGTGTCATAGATTCTAGAACTAGTCCACCCAAAACATCTCAATAACTATACAGTTCTTGTAAAAGACCCACATGTAACATTGTTTGGGGTTTTGTTGTTTTGTGACTGAACAAAGTTTTGCTTTCTGTTTTTATTTGTCATAATGGGAAAGTACCACAATGTTGAACTATCTTTTTTTTTTTTTTTTTTTTTTTTTGTGTGTGTGTGTGTGTGTGTGTGTGTGTGTGTGTGTGTGTGTATCATACTTTCCTTTCTGTCCTTCCCCCACATATTCCAGACACAAGAAAATCCACCTCAGTCCTCATCACTCAGGAGGAAGCTAATTTGTTAGCAGCTCTCCTCAGCTGCAGGTGTCCTGGCGAGTTTAGCTTTCCATGAATAATTAAGGCCCTCAACCTCCAGTCTCCTACACTCCAGATAGGAATGAGAGAGATAGGGTACTCTTTGACGGTTTCATGTCTGTGCTCCACTTAATGTGGTGCCCTGAGGTTCCTCCCTTTGGTCCATCGATCATTCTACACTTCATGATGTTCTCCAGTCTCAACCCAGCACTTAGTTTTTCCTGTTCACACAAATGTAAGGCAAACCTAATCACTTTTTTATTTATATTTTATTGTTCGCTTTTGTTTTTGAAACAGGATTTCTTTGTGTAGCCTTGGCTTTCCTGGAACTTGCTCTTTAGACCAGGCTGGCCTCGAACTCACAGAGATCTGCCTGCCTCTGCCTCCCAACGGCTGAGATTAAAGGTGTGTGCCACCACCACCCGGCTCTTTATTTATACTCTAAATATGCATTTTAAGCATACAAAATGTTGCAAACAATGCAGAGTACAAACATTTCTTTCTTTCTTTCATTTTTTTTTTCAAGACAGGGTTTCTTTATGTAGTTTTGGTGCCTGTCCTGGATCTCACTCTTATAGACCAGGCTGGCCTCGAACTCACAGAGGTCCGGCTGGCTCTGCCTCCTGAGTGCTGGGATTAAAGGCGTGCACCACTGCCGCCCACCCAAACATTCTTTAACATACATGTTCATACATAACTCAACAATCAAATTTATCCCAACTCTAAATGTGAGGAAACCTAGTTCATTTTATTCCCCCGTGAGTCTTATGAGCTGTGGATGTAGAGGCCCTTTAAGAAAATATTCTATATATACTTAAATTATCTCAAGTTACAGCTTGCGTCTCGAGAAACATATTTGTTTTGGTAGTAACCTCCTGGATCACATGCTGTTTATGACCCCTTTGAGCCCCCAGAACAGGGTGAAATACACACAGCAGGACTCATGTGGACACAGAGAGGAATCAGTCTGTCACCCTCTGTACTCCTATGGGCTGGGCATGCTTTTTTGCACGTCCATCTAGCCCGTCCATCTGTACTTCCTGGATAAATCAGTGATTATGTGTACTTATTTATAACAGCCTGTCTCCAAAAAGGACTTTAGGCAGCTTGCAAAATTGATTAATAGCCATTGGGAAAATACAATCCAGGGCCAAAGTCAGGTTTTATCTGGAAGAAACCTTCACCGCAGAAAGCAAAACAGTTGATCAATGCCAGGAATGAGCTAAAAAAACTGCCTGGGAAGAGTCCTTAATGCCCGTTGTGTGCTTTCTAAGCCCTGCAAACACAAACGCACTTTAAAGGCTACAGAACAGCAGGTTACACCAACCTAGACCATTTGTGACTGTGAAATGTTGACAAGCTTCAAAGATAAAGGACATCCTCGTAACAAAACCGACAAAGCTTCTCTTTGAACAGGAGTCCCTCCCTGCCCAAGGAGGAACTGAGTACATCTACAAACAAAGTTTTCCTATGATGGAAAATGTGAGGCCTGCTGATTGCTTCTTTCTGCCAGCCTGAAAAATTACTGTGCCAGGAGATTTTTTTTTTTTTAATGGATAAACAAGCAAAGATGTCCTAGAATAAAACCATGTACTTTAAGAGAATTTTGTGCATCTCAACGTGGAGACCTTAATCATGGGGACTTTCTCATGGAGTGGCATCAGGTTCTTAAAGCAGTGTGTTTTAAAGTATATAAAGTATCTCTAAAATAGGAACGCGTCCATTTCCGACGTGAACTATTGCAGCAGCCTTCTGGAGATCCTCTGTTCCATCATGCAGCAACCCTCCTGAGAGCAAATGGCCTGCTGTTGAATGAATAACTGTTTTCCTGTAATCTGAGAATTGACATTTATCGACTGAAATTCCAGCTCAGCATGGCTACACTGGTAAGCTCACGTAGTTCTGGTTGGAAGTCGCCTACGGGAGAATATCATTACCTTCCTCCCGGCATTTTCAAGAGTGTTTTTTCCTAATGACTGGACGACATTTTTATATCTTAGCTATCCTATCCCGGATGGCATTTTTATGTCTTAGCTATCCTATCAATTCCAGGAGGTACTTCATGTAGGTCCATAAGTAAAAAACAACAGCTCTTCTCAACAAGTCTACAAAGACCGACTTTTGCTCCCGTCAAGAATTCCAGACTTAAATCTACATTGAGTGAAAACTGGGAAAACAAATTTGTTACTTAGTTCAGTGAATGGGGCAGGAAAAGCTTTCCTAAATATGGCAGAAAAAACAAGGTTTTTTCTGGGTGAATCAAAAAGAAATCCTAGAGTCCACTGAGTAACTACTAACTCTGCCACCTTCCTCGGTTGTCACCTTCCTTTTGAAGTGCCTCATGTCCTGCCACCTTGTCCTGGCTCTATTCTGTGATTGTTTTGACCCTTCTCAGCCCTCTGCCCCACCCCCATCAAGTCACATCTGCCTTGGCAA